AAAGTTTTAATAAAACTTTTTAATCAGTATTATGCGTACCTATCTGACCAATGAAACATAAAACCCTGTAGATAATACAAATTGTTGTTAACCCCTTGAGTCCTAAGTTTCTAAATTTGCAAATACGTCAGTGAAACTGACATGGATACATTAAAATAGGCAGCAAATCAGGGCTGGAGTTGTGGCTCAGAGGAAGAGCGCTCACCTAGCATGCATGAGGCACTGGGTTTGATCCTCAGCACCACATAAAAATAAAATTAAGGTATTGTGTCCACCTACAACTAAAAAATAAACGTTTAAAAAAATAGGCTGCAAATCATAATCTAAAGCTTATATATCCTTTGTTATCATTAAGAATGCTAATACAATACACAATGGAATATTACTCAGCAATAAAAGAAAATAAAATCATGGCATTTGAAGGTAAATGGATGGAGTTAGAGAAGATAATGCTAAATGAAATTAGCCAATCCCAAAAAAACAAATGCTGAATGTTTTCTATAATATAAGGAGGCTGATTATAGTGGGATAGAGAGAGCGGGCATGGGAGGGACAGAGAACTCTAATCAAACTATAATCCAATCAAAGTTGTTTTCTTAAAGGGAGAAATATCCTCTGGCACAAGAGTTTGGATGAAGTTCCTATTTACTATTTCCCTGACTTGATAGGCTAAAGGGTGCAGAAACCATCAACAAAGAAAATGCAATTCTTAGGCTGCAAAATCAGCAGAATGTGCAATAAAGTCAGTGCTTTGTGGATTGTATGTATGTATACAGAGAGGTGGGAAGGAAAGGGAGGGAGCATGGGGTTATTAATGATGGTGGAATGTGATGGACATTATTATCCAAAGTACATGTTTAAAGACAAGAATTGGTGTAAATATACTGTGCATACAATTTATCATATATAAATTTTTATATATGATACAATTTATCATATATAAATTTTTAAAAATTAATTAAAAATAAATAAATAAATAAATAAAATGATAATACGGAAATTAAAAAAAAAAGAATGACAATACAGATTGTCCTTTAAATAGAACACTGGGGCATTACAGTATCTTTTCCATATATAAACATCCCACAAACAGGAGATTGGGCAAATATGATATCTGGGAGGATGGGACAACATGGGCCAGGGAACAATCACTGAAATGTATTTCATTTTACTCTAAATATAAAAGTGAAATCAACCCTAAATATCTAGACTTTGGGAAACTGCATAGGATAAACAATCTGGTTTCTTCAGCAAATAAATTACAAAAAAGAAAGATAAATTTTAAAATCTATTTTATAAAACCTCAACAGGCAAAACTAAATTAAAAAGATGCATACCTCAATGATAAAACTATATAGGAAGGGATACTCATAAAATCAGATTGGTGTTTGCAAGTGTCACCAGAGGTGCAGGGCTTGGGTATATGAAGCAGCTCTATGGCTTGAACTGGACAGAGGATGTAAAGGTGCGTACTTTTAATTAATCAACCCATACATTGTTTGACATGAATTTCTGTGTTGGTGTTATATTTTTACAACTGAAAATATTTTTAAAATAAAACTATAATCTGAAAGATTCATCAAAGCAGCTATTACATATTTTTTTTCATGCTAATGTATTTCTTTCCCCACATTCACACTCACACCCTTAAATCAAATGCACTGCATCTGTGCAATAAAGTCAGTGCTTTGTGGAGTTTTCACAAAAATTCTATGGCACTTGAAAAAAACCATTTAATATACTGGCTTCTGGCCACTGTTTAAATCTGGCATGATGATTTTGACTATAATTTTGCTTCTTCAAGATATATATGTCCATGTTTATGACAACCAACACACACAAAAAAATTCTGAATTTAGCTTTCATTTCATATACCCTTTTTCATTTACCTCAGTCCTAAGACAAATGTCAACTTTAAAAAACAAACAACAATGGAGACAAAAAAGAAAAACACAACAAAAATTGTAAGTCTCTTAAGGAAGGTTCTGTGAGCTAAATTATATTCCCCCTCCAATTCCTATGTTGAAGTCCTAACCCCCAGAACCATAAAAAGACATAGGAGAAGACAATGCACAAGTCCAGAATAAACCCTGGACACATTGATCTCAGACTTCTCACCTCCAAAATTATGAGATAATAGATTCCTATTGTTCTATTATGGCAACCATAGCAAACTAAGACAGAAAGCAAAGAAAAGGTAGAAAAATTAAGGCTTTCTTTTTAAAAAGGCAGTAGAGAGAAAGAAAACAAAAAAGTATGAAATGTTACAATTTTGTTTGACCTATAGTAAATAATGAAAAGAAAAGTTTAAGAGAATTCTGAGTTATTAACAAAAAAGGAGAACTCAACCAGATTCCACAAAAAAAGGAAACATCCTAGAGAACTAAGAACAGAGGGCACGACCTGAGGAGACCAGCAGGGAAGTAATTGACTACTGGCTTTGGATTTTATGAGCAGGATTGAACACTTTCAATATGTTCCTGGAAAAAACCCAGGGGAAATTTTTGAGTGAGATTTTTAAATGGACTGGAAACACATGGAGGTGATGGGTGAAATCAAAGTTGTTTTCTTAAAGGGAGAAATATCCTCTGGCACAAGGGTTTGGATGAAGTTCCTATTTACTATTTTTCTGATTTGATAGGCTAAAGGGTGGAGAAAACCATCAACAAAGAAAATGCAATTCTCAGGCTGCAAAATCAGCAGACTGTGCAATAAAGTCAGTGCTTTTTGGATTGTATGTATGTATACTCATGGAGGCTTACAACCTCACAGCAGGGTAATATCCTAAAAAGGATATTACAGTAAGGAAGGCAGACAGCTGTTTGTTGGATCCACCCTACGTGCTCATACTTGCATTCCACCACTCCCCTGACAGACATAGATAGAAATGGATAGGAAACTGCCTGGTTTTTCTCCTCTTCAACAAAGCAAGAAGAGATAACCGCATTTAGAAAAACAGTGTCATACAAACAAGAGAAGTGAATCAAATAAACAGGGGTGAGAACAAAAGGAACCAGAGACTCTAACTCTAGGTAACTTATTTCAAACTATAAGCAAAATTACTCCATTCTCCTATGTCCTACCTAGAAGTATCTGATATTCTTTTCTGCAGGAAGGCAGTGATATAGATCAACCATTCAATTATCCTTAAGCTGGAATAACTTTCTGGAGGGACTAGCCTAATTATTATATTTAGGTCACTTGTAAAAATAAACAGGTTTTGTTTTTAAGTCTGTATCAGTTAGAAATGTATTGATAATGTAGGTTGAGCATACCTTATCTGAAAATCCATGACCAAAATGTTCCAAATCCAAAAATTCCTGATCATCAAAACAAGGCACAAAAAGTTTCATATTTTATCACATTTTGGATTTTGGAGTTTGGGTTAGAGATGCTCAACCAGGAAAATATATGCAAATATTCCAAAGTTCAGAAACATGAAATTTGAAACACCTCTGATTGCAAGCATTTCAGGTAGAGACTTATTTACTAGCAAAATGTTGTAATGTCTGAAATTTGCTTTCAAATACACAAAGTTATTGTAATGTTGACAGCAGCTGATGCTGGAAATGGATGTGAGAGGGGTTCATTATATTTTAGTTTCTGTATGTTTGACATTTTCCATAATAGTTTTCATGGGCTAAGGGTATAGTTCAGTGGTACAGTACTTATCTGGCATGTATAAGGTCCTGAGTCTAATCCTAGCACCACAAAAGAAGAAGAAGAAGACGAAGAAGAAGACAAAGATGAAGACGAAAAAGAAGAATTATTCTTGTTAACATATAAAAATAATTTAAAATTCAATTTCCTCTTGTACTGCTTAAATAGAAAAAAAAATGTAATTTATTTTGGTTATCAATAACAGAATTCAATTTGAATAAAAAACTTTTTATCATAACATAGGTAAATAGGAAAATGGTGAACATAGGCTTTATATGAAAACAACTTAGGAAAATGTTCACAATATGTTACAGCATTTACTAAAAAACAAGCAAGATATAATATTATAGATACATATAGTACTATAAAAAAATATAAATATGTGAGACAAAAAACACTAAAAGGAAATGCAACAAAATGAAAACAAATTTAACCTCGCTACTTACAAGTTTTCTAAATAAGGATGTAACAAATTTGTATTCAGCAAAAGAAACATGGACAAATGATATATTATCAGATAAGGTAGAATAGAATGTCTGAACACTTTAGAACAAATATACACTTGGCCAACCTCACACTGAACAGAATCTCTACACATGGGTGCTCTTGGTCTCCTATGTCCTAACGTACACCATTAGTCCATCATTACCCTGGGGAAAAACACATTCTCTGCCTCTGGAAGAGGCTTCGACTTGTATTTTAAGGTTTTCAGACCTTACCTGTTATAGCCAGTATCCTGAGATATACCTTCAGGGAGTTTAAATTCCCTGAAACATCTAGTAGGTCTAATGATTTTACACTTTACTTGGGGAAAGTCTTTCACACACAAATGCAAAGCCACACACCTATTCTGCACCTGAGATCTCACCACGTGATTCTTTTCTTTGATTTTGTTGTTGTTGTTGTTGTTGTAGATGGACACAATACTTTTATTTTATTTTTACGTGGTGCTGGGGATTGAACCCAGTGCCTCACACATGCTAGGCAATCGCTCTATTACTGAGCCACAACCTCGGCCCTTCACCACGTGATTCTCAAGAGTTAACCTTAAAAGCAAATTCCAGAAATTATTTTCTGTAACATAATCTAAAAAGAACTACTTGCAACTACCATAATCCTACAAACTATAACTATAATAATTTTGATAATGTGCTAAGAATTTTTTTCTAATAACTGAAAGTTTCATTTTTCTCAAAAGGGTGAAAACTTTCTTAATAAACTATAAAATATTTTCAAACCTCAAAACCATCCTTTAGATGTATCACTGAAAATTGAAATCATGTGCAGTAGTGTATTGAAGAGTTTCAAAATTTCCTCCAAAAGAAGGAAAATTCACTTACTTTGCTTTGCACAGTCTTGCCTCCATGTTCGATGTGCCTCTCTATGTAATCCGAGGACAACAAATCACTGCAATGACAAGAAGAAAAGATGACAAAAGAGCACCGGTAAAGTCTATGAAGATCAGGATCAAGTTCACACACATCTGCTTTAACAATTCTTTAACTGTATTTTAAAACAAAAATCAACACATTATAGGAACAGAAAGAACAAACCCAGGATGTCTAAAGGAGAGGAGGTTGAACTGGCTATCCCACCTGTCATCCAGTTGCTCATCAGCAGATTGCCTGGGTCCAGGCAGTAATTCCAGGAAACTACTGTAAGCACGCCTTTTTTCTCCCCTTGCACTAGAGATTGAACCCAGGGCGCTCTGCCACTGACCCATACCCCCAACCCTTTTAGTTTGAGTTGAGGTCTTACTAAGTTGCCCAGGTTGGCTGGGAATCTTGGGTCCTCCTTCCTGCCTCAGACTAGAGTAGCTAGGGTTACCATCGTGCACTACACACAGCTTCAGCACACCATTATTTTAAAGACATTTTATTCTTATTTTTTCAAACTTCAGCTTTTTATCAAAAAGTTTTAATTGACTACCATATCTTACCATTTCTTTATGAGTTACGTGTGATACTTTTATCTGACAGATTACTAGTTTCCATCACACACCAAAAAAGAGGGGAAAATTAAAAGAAATGAAAAGGAATGTACAATAAGCATTTTAAAATTACTTTCTTTCTAAGCCTCTTCTCAACAATACCTTCTTATATAAACTTAAATATTCATAGAACCTTAATATGCTTTAATCCCATATATGTGAAAAATTTCCCCTTTTAAGAGAAGTACTGCAAGACACACTTTCTATAAGAAGTCTTTAATTTTTTTAAAGCAGTAAAATATTAGTAAAGTTGTCATCAAAAAATAAAAATACATGAAGTTAATAAATTTATAATGTTACTCTATTTATAGTCATTGAGCCAACTAAAAAGAATCTTTCTTCAAATACTCTGTAGGTTTCTCAGCCAAAATTGTCACAATCATAACAAAGTTAATATCTGAGCACATAGGCCCATCGTGATAAGCACCACGCCTACAATTGCTTGAAATATAAACGGAATGTGCAAACATGCATTACATTCATGCAGGCACCATAAGGCTCTAGAATCTGATGCTTATGTTACCATTTAGGGAACCTATAATTATAGTCTAAGTCCATGCTTCATTGCTCTTGGGAATATATTTTCATATTAACTTTATATGGGACCCAGCCAGGATGCTATAATCTTCAAGCTGCCGAAAACATAACTAAAAGTGGCTAAAACAATCAAGATATTTATTATCTTCTTGTTAGAAATTTCAGAGCAAGTATAATATGAATTTCCATTTGAAAATATTTTGTTCTGTTAATGAATATATTTGAAGTTTATAAAAATTATAGACAAAACCTTTAAAACATTTTAAGCATAGATGAGTAGTTAGTAAGCAAAATTTTGTTAGATGTGGGCAGAATTCATAGGATGTTATTACTTCACAGTAAAATCTCCTATGTATTACCCATTTACAGAAAGGAATGGATACTCAAGAGAAAACTAATATATCCATTAGACACCTAGGTAATAAATGTTCATGATATACTAAATAAGCAAGAGACACTTAACACCCAGGATACCCTAAATGTGCACAATCAATATTCTTGAGGTCTTATTTCTATCACCCATTGGTGCTACCAAGGGTTTCTCAATTTCTGACCTATTGACATTTAGGCCAGATAATTTTTTTTTGTCTTGGGAGGCTACCTTATGCATTACAATACATTTACCATTATAGTATATGTATATTTAGGGTAGAAGTAGACTGCCTGTTACACATTAAATACCAGTACAGCTCCAACACATCCCAGTCATGACAGTAAAAATGTCTCCAGTCATAACTAACTGTACACTGGGAGAACCACTCTGGTTAAACCACTCTGCTAACATTCATTCTTGTCCCTTATGATCTCTGTCCAAAAATCACAAATAAACCTCATGAGTATTTGTCAGGTTAATTGGCATGCTACAGCTGCTAAGCAGGCATACTTGTCCTGTGTCTTTCGGATACAATAAGTGGCTGCCACTAGTTCAGGGCACCTGCTATCTTGAGACTTGAACAAACTTCAACTCTGATCCTCATAACCACATTATCAGCAGGGAAGACAGGTGCAGCAGAGAAACAGGAAATATGAACACTGTATACTCCAGGATTAGCAGGCATGCTCCTTCTCATCCCCCTATACCTTATCCTAAATACACTATATGCCCATCTCTTTCCTCTTATTTCTCACAGTGTGCTTAAGTTAATTTAGCAAACTGTGAGCTGAGGATCTGAATTTGGTTTATGGAAGTTTTCTGCCTCCTGACCTCTGGGAGAGCTCTCCTGGTAGCATACCAAGAGGCTACCATTGCATCAAAGTACGTTTCCCACATCAGGGCACTTCAAGGGTTGGCTCATGTGGTAGCTCTGCACCAATTAATGCAACCAAGAATATGTTCAACTTTCTGCTCTGGCATTAATCAGTACAGTGGTTGACCTGTTCTCTTAATTGGCTGTTCTCATGACCTATAACATAGCTGTTATAATTGAAAACATCTCATGAAGATTAAAAATATCCCATGGTAGGGCTGGGGTTGTGGCTCAGTGGTAGAGCACTTGCCTTGCATGTGAGGGGCACTGGGTTCGATCCTCAGCACCACATACAAATAAAGATATTGTGTCTACAACTTAACTTTTTTTTAAAATATTCCATGATTTAAAAAAAAAGTCTTGGTATTTTTTGAAAGAATGAGAAAACACTTAACACAAAGCACCTAACATTCATCTTCTCTAGTATCTCATGCAAGAATTACATTACATGACCACACCTAAACCAATTGTTTAACAAGGACATTTGTCTCTGAACAATCAAGAATCAGCTCCCTGGCCTCCTCTGCACATCCTGACTTCTCAAGAGAATTGAAGAATATTTCACAAATTTCCAAAGATTTCTGACAAAATAGTGAAGCAGAACAGTAAAGACTTGCCTCTAACAAAACTAGTATTGCTACAGCATCCACAATGCACCCTGTTAACCAAACCCAGACCCCAAACAAGCCCACAGCTAAAACAGAAGAGGTGGCAGCCAGATTTTTGCAAAAGACAGTCCCCTGGCCTTGCTACTAGTCTGAAACAACTGCCCCAGAAGTTGGAGAGAAACTACCACAAAGAGGCAGTGTTTATTAGCACACCCAGCCAGGTTCCTTCTCTGGGGAATCTGAAAGAGTAAATGAAGGGGGGAAAAAACAACTTTCAGCTGATAAAAGAAAGAGAAACAGAAAGACAGAACTAAGGAAAGAGTTGAGAGAAATTGAGTTGTACCAGTAGTGAATAGCAGAGTGAAGGCCCCAAATCTCTGCAGCTGAAGTCCATGAACCCAAAACAGTCTTTCCTACTGTTGGGCATACCTGGGATCCTATCCCCATCACTGTCACAAGAGTAAATCCCCATTATGGAGCTTGCATAAATGAAATCAAAAGCACCTAAGTGAAACAATCCACAGAGGATAGCAGTTGTAGCAGTAGTAATAGCAATAATAATTTTTTAAAACACAATTTTCAAGTCTTCCAGGTTTTCAAATTTCAAGGGAACATTGTCCTTTGAATTATAAAATCTAGGCATTAAGAGAGCATGAGTCATTGCAGGAATGTAATTATAGCAAAGAAAAAACACTCTGCTGGGGAATTATGCAGCTATTTCAACCAAGCCTCTATATCTACAAGATTTGATAGAAAAGGCTCCATGTAATTTAAACCAAAAACAGTCCCTGCAATTTGGTTTTGTTTGTTTGCAGTATTGTGAAAGTATGCTAAGTATTGTTATTTTAATTATTAGGCTTGAAAAACCTCCTATTTAAAATGCCACTGTTCCTTCTACTGAACCATAAAATCCTCCTTACCTCCATCAAGTCTGAGAACACAAGTAAATTTCTTGAAGCCTCCTGAAGTAGATAAAATCAAAACTACCTGCTCTTCTTTTCCATAGAACATCATTATGTATTGTTCAGTGAGGATCTTCTTATGTCATGTTAAGTGGAGAAAAACAGAGGATCTCCTTAGCATAGAAGTTTTACCTCACTGTCAGTGGATAAGGTAGAATTCACTCCATGCTAACAGCTTATTCAATACTGATTGATATGTGTGAATGCTTGTGACCTTTGAAAGATAGAAATCAAACCATTTTCAATCAAATTCTAAAGGCTACTCATTTTCTAAAGGAAGATATGGTTTTAAATTAAAAATGTATTCTGAGCCCCCTCCCAACACTTTCTTTTCATTTACATGCCATAAGAAGCCTGGAATAAGCAAAACAAATACGATGTAAACATCTTCAGTCATAATAATGATTATCCTTTGTCTAGTGAGCAACTCATGAATCAGAGGCAGCTAGTACAATACAAAAGTTTTGGAGTGCATTTGATTTTTCCGTCTAAAACCTCTGCCATTTACTAGCCGTATAACGTTGGTCAAGTTATTTAGCTATTATGAATACATATTGCCATGTTTAAAATGGACATCATAAAGTTGGTATAGTATTAAATCAGAACATAAGTACTATCAATAACCAATGATCCTACTACCATTTTGTCACTGCCATTCATCTCTTCTTTTCCACGTAAGCCGGTTTACATTCCATGATCCATAATGGTAACTGCCCAGCCACACACACTAGAAAGTTCCTTATGCCCTCCTGTTCCCTTTCCATTGTACTAACGTGACTAAACATCAAGTGTGGTAAACTTAACTTTTCTATGAAGCAAAGTCTAACTCCAAGAAACAGAACATCTGAGCCATCACAGGTACAATTAGTTATAAATAGATGCTTCAATACAACTTTGCCCATAAGCCCATTACATTCTAATCTCTTACTCTGAGAAAACCCTTCTGAACATCTCTCTCCACCAATCTTCAGAATGGTCCTACATCACTGGCCCCTAATGATGACTTGGCTTTTCTATATTCAACAGGAAAATGGGAACAGATGAACACTGCCTCACTTTTCTA